CTTTCACTGCAAACTACAAGAGCCAAAAGAACCTAAAGCAATGTCTTCCAATTTCTAAGTAACCATACAGGCCAACCTAGAATACTTTACCCAGAAAAACTGGCTGTCATAATTGAAGAGGAAAGACAAATCTTCCATGGCACAAACAGACTGAAATAATTCATGTTCACCAAACCAGTCCTTCAGAGAATACGCAAAACAATACAACAGACTGAAGAAACGCCCATGCTCAAGACGTGGCAGAAAGAAAATTATGACGGTAAATGTACAGAAATACAAAATTATACTAAGAACACAAACAGAATATAAAATAAAATGACAGAAATCAGTATACAACTTTCAATAATAACTTTGAACATCAATGGTCTCCACCCATCAAAACAAGCAGGCCAGTTGAATGGATTAAGAAACAAAACTCATCTATAGGGAAATCATCTTACCTCCAGGGATAAACACCACATTAGAGTGAAAGGGTAGAAAAAAATTTTCTAAGCAAATGGTACTAAGAAACAAGTGCTATTCTAATATCTGTCAAAGTAGACTCCAAGTTAAATCAATCAGAACAAATCACTTATTCTGATCAAGGGAAGATTTGAACAAGAAGTCATAACAGTCCAGAATATATATGCACCAAATTATAGTGCAACTTGTGTCATAAAAACAGTATTAATGGAATTTCAAGACACAGATTAACCACAACTTGATGACTTCAATATACCACTTTTTCCATAGACACACCGTTTGACAAAGAATAAACAGAGAAACCTCTGAGTAAAATTATATATATATCAAAGAGACCTAATAAATATCCATTGACTATTGTCCCCAAGCACCAAAATAAAATAAAATAAAAACACATTCTAAGTTAGGCATGGTGGCACATGCCTTTAAGTTTTCAGGAGGCAGAGGCAGGTGGATCTCTGTGAGTTCAAGGCCAGCCTGGTCACTATAGCAAATCTAGGCCAGCTGTAGCTACAGGAAAACTCTGCCTCAAAAAATCCAAAAACCAACCAACCAATCAAAAAGGACACATTTCACTCAGCATCCCATGCAAGTTACCATAAAATAGACAATGTACAGGGGCACAAAGCACACTAAGAAATACCAAATAATCTAAATAATTCCATGTATTCTATTGGACCAAAATTCAATAAAACTTAAAATCAGAAAAAGAAGTCTTAGTTACTCTATGAAATGTGGTGAAGCCAATGTTATGATGGCGAATGATCGTGTTCATACGGCCTGAATTTGTTTTTCACAAATTTTATTGATTAGTTTTGCATCTATGTTCATCAGCAAGATTGGTCTACAATTTCTGTTGTTGTTGAGTCTTTGGTTTGGCATCTGGGTAATACTGGCTTCATAGAATTAGAGTAAACTCTTCTTGAATGGAAAAATTTTAGGAATATTGGTGTTAACTCTTCTTTGAAGGGTATATTATTTGAGGTTCTCTAGGGTAACAGAACTAATCAAACGAATATGTATTTTAGAGGGGATTTATTTAGATTAGCTTGCTGAATAATATCTGGGAAGCACTCAGCAGCATCTGTAGCCAAGTCATTCGTGTTGAATAGGAGTGTATGTAATAAAATAGGACAGAAACTCTCATGTCATTTACAATCCTTGTTTCTGCAACTGGTCGTGTGGTCTTAGCTACCACTTAAATCTACCTTCTACCATCCATTCTGTGTTTCTTTCACCCTCAGTGAGCAGCTCACCAGGTCTTGGCACTTTCTCTGCAGGAGTGACTCACACCTTCATCCTTGAAGTATCTGAGTCACTTGACAATCTACCTGAATTAGATTGTTGCAGGTTCCCACTGACATTAATCATAGAACATGGTAATGCTAAGATACAGCCTAAAGAAATATTGAGAGAACATCGATGGCTATATGCAGCCTCTAAACAATATTCAGATAATATGGAGTACAGTATTGCAGTATCCATTCACTCTGAGCAAAAATAAATCAAGTTATCAAGGCAGAGTAACAGTGTACCAATATAATCTGAAAAGATCTTATAAGTCAATGTCCCAATGAACTTCATGTTTAATACAATACCAGTATAGGATCCATGACTGATGCCTGACAGATATGAGAAGCTGTCATTTATACACTTCCAGAGCACTCTCTTCTATCTGGAACACAAAAGCTCTAATTCACCCATTGATATAAATACACAATCAGATTCAGGCATTTTCAATTCATAATGAAGTACTCAGCACATAACCCTTCACAAATCCAGGAGCCCATGTAAGCAGAAACTTCATTGTTTTGCATAAGCAGGACATTATTTTTTTTAAAAAAACTCATTTTCCTTTTCTTCTTTTTGAATATTTTGAATGTGTGTATATAAGTGTATCATGAACATTCAATGTATCCAGTGGTCAGAAGGGGGCATTGAATGCCCTGGAACTGGACTTACAGGTGGTTGTTACACAGTGTTCTTAACCACTGAGCAATTTTTCCAGTCCCAGGGCATTAATCTATTCATTAAATCACCACAACACTTTAGAAAAAGTCATTATTTATTTGTGCTTCCTAATAAACAAAGAAAAGCCTTAGGCAAATTAATGTGAAGTACCTTTTCAAAACTATTATATTAGTGAAGTATAGGTAGAGGATTCAAACACAGAACAGTCAACTGTGGATAAACTACTGTGTTTAAAACTAAGTGGGATAATCAAACAATATGTGACAGCATACAACATAGGGAAAATGATTTTGGAGTCTAAAAGTTAGCCTAGTAGTAGGGTACTTGCCTAATGTACATGAGGTCTCAGATTAATTCACAGAATAGGAATCAAAAGACAATTTCAAAATATTATTTTAAAATGTTAAGAGAGATAATACATAGTGTTGTATCTAAACTTCCTGATATGTTTTTGAGAAATTAATAAAGCCTGATGTTGTACAGGACTGTTCTCTGAGTTATACAGACACCATCTTTCTGAGTTCAGCTATGACTGTTTGCCAAAGTTAATCAGAGCTGAGACGGTTCATTGTTGATACCCTACTTGGAAGGAGGGTCAGGGAGAGTCATGAGACCCTCACCTAAGTACATCCAGTCATTCTTTCCAAGCGATGCTGAGCATTCTTGCCTTCATTTCACTTCTCCTCAGGGAAAGGCTAGATAATATGGACTAGGAAAGAGTCAGGGAGGGGCTCCATTTATGTGGCTATGAGAAAGTCATCAACGATGCCAGGTGAAAACTTTCCAATGCAGTTTATATGCAGTACATGCACATTTACTTAACTCATCACTCAGTTGCTCTGTAAGTAAGCAAAATAAATGTATTCATTTCTCAGGGTGAACTTTGGTCGAATTTTTGTCCTTGAGATCAAGGGAAGGGGGCTGGATGTTATTTACTTCTCTCCCAGGGACAAAGTTTTAGCGACACCTGGGAATTGACTTTGTGGAACACTGAGATTCCAAAGAGGAGAAGGAAAGAAAGAAACAAATCACTGCTTTCCCTAAGAGAGGTAGGTGATTGGAAGATGGGATTTTTATACTGGCTCAAGCATGGAGGATATACAATCCCAATAGAGACGTTCATACCTGACTGAAATACTGGGTCCCAAAGGAAATCAGAAGCTAACTTGAAGTAGTACATAAGCCCAGTCCTTTTCAAAGCTGTAATCTGCTTGCTGAGAAGAGACCGAGGAATTTTCTACCTTGCTTATTTCAAGTGTATTTGGAAATCCTGCTTGTGACTTTTATGGTGTCCCACCTAGAGGCAGGTGTGAAAATGGAAAGCTGTTTATTTTTTCTTTGACATTTCAGTGGTTAAAGGAGTAGCATTATCAGTTAAAAACAATAGATGAAAAAGACATCCAGGAACAAATTTGTGCATCATAAAAATCAAAGGTAGCAAAAGCTCAAAGAATATTGCCATTTGAAGATAATTGTTGTTAATAATAATTTCAAACCAACACGGTTTTCTTCATAAATAGTGTAAGTTTAAAATATATTCATGATGATACCTTACTTCTTATTTAAGAGATCGATTACCATTAATTTGTAAAATGCCATATGTGAAGTATAATACTTGTTATTTTGTCCAAGATTATTATTTTCTTTTACAGTTGGGTTGTACCATGCAACAAACTCAGGTCTAAAGTCTTCCACTCCTAACTGTTGCTAACGTCCTGAATTTAAATCTTAAGGACCTGTTTACACTGAGCTATCTAACCTTCTTCTCACATAGACAGCATCGTCCTGTTTTCTCTCCTCTAACACCTAACATCCATGGTCCTCCTCTCTGCTACTATACCTAGTTTAGGTTGTACATATAGGGTGGTTGTGACATATTTTTCATTTACATGTGCATTTGGCTTCACACGGTGAAGAATCTGAGGGTCTACATTTTTCCATTTGCATTTTGTACAATACTGAAATTCAACTGAATTCTTAGAAGAACATCTGAGAATGACAATGTTCAGTATAGACTCAGATCGAGTGTCTGCTTAGTAACCTCCTTCTCAGAGCAGATCTCAAATTATTCTCCATCCATTAATTTTCTTATGACACTGGTAGCAACTGAACCATTCTTAGTTTTTGGGTGGAAAATGAGTTCTGCATGGTACTTGCTCAACAAAGTCCTAACTGGATTAGGAATCAGATTTTTATAAATTCCCTCAGCATCAAGGAGAAGCTGAGGTAATAAAGAGAGGGTGAGATGAAAAATAATTATATAGCAATTTTATACTTTTCTCAGGATTATTAAAACTTTTTGTGAGTAGAAGCTTAAGATGTAGCAATACTGGACTCAGCTCTGTAGGTTGTTAAAGATATTTTTAACTTTATCTTTGAGAGTTTGAAATGCAGAAGAGATTGCCACTGCACATCACGGAAGTAGAGAGCTAGTTTCACTGCTTTCAGGTTTGTCATTTGAAGACATCGCCAGCTTATGTCTCAAATTTGTGAGACAAGATATTGTTAAAAGTTCTCTTTGTTCCTCTAATCTCACCATTTTTTATGTCTCCACAGAATCTTGGAGAAGAATGACTCTGTCAAATGTATCTTTGGTAACAGAATTCATTTTTCTGGGTTTAACAGACAAACCTGAGCTCCAAACACCCCTGTTCCTGCTATTTCTAGTATTTTATGCAATAACTGCCTTGGGGAATTTGACGTTGATAATTCTAATTGTGCTGCATTCTCATCTTCACACCCCCATGTACTTTTTCCTACTTAACTTGTCCTTCATAGACATCTGTTATTCATCTGTGATTACACCTAAGATGCTGATGAACTTTGTACTAAGGAAGAACTTTATCTCCTATAAGGGTTGTATGACCCAGTTCTATTTCTTTGGATTTTTTGCTATTTCTGAATGTTATGTGCTGACAGCAATGGCCTATGATCGCTATGTAGCCATCTGTAATCCATTGCTGTATAACGTTGCCATGTCTCCCAAAATGTGTGCCTATCTAATGTTTGGTTCATATTTTATGGGACTGTCTGGTGCCATGATCCATACTGGATGTGTCCTAAGACTGACCTTCTGTGACAGAAACACCATCAACCACTATTTCTGTGATCTCCTCCCGTTGCTGCAGCTCTCCTGTACCAGCATCTATGTCAATGAGGTGGAGATGTTCATTGTGATAGGAAAAGACATCACTGTTCCCACTGTCGTCATCTTTACCTCTTACGGCTTCATCCTCTTCAGCATCATCAAAATAAGGCCCACTGAGGGCAGGTCCAAAGCCTTCAGCACTTGCAGTTCTCACATAATTGCTGTTTCTATGTTCTTTGGATCAAGTGCATTCATGTATCTCAAACCTTTCTCAGCTGTGTCTATGGGTGAGGGAAAATTCTCTTCTGTCTTTTACAGCATTGTGGTTCCCATGATGAACCCTTTAATCTATAGCTTGAGGAATAAAGATGTTAAAGTTGCCTTTAAAAAAACCCTGGGCGGATTTTTTTAACCAGACATCCAATCTCTTTGTGTGTATAGATATGTTACAGAAAAATGTTCTAAGTTTAGTATGTTTTAGGGAAAAG